TGGGGATACGTACAGCTCATTGATCACGAGGGGGGGGTTGGATCAGCGCTAGGTATACATACGCTGATACTGGGAGGCGTGGGGGGGGGGGGGTTCCGAGTGGAATGGGTCTCGTCTGACTCACGCATGCGTATAATTGGCTCCCCTTCCCGTAACGCACTTGCCAGCTGCTCGCCTGCTGGTATATCATCTCCCACAAGAGCTGTCACAACGCGCGCGAGAGCCAGGACACAGCGGCTCGGCGGCGCAGCTTTGAGGTCGGGTGGGGGCGGCCGGGGCTCGTCCACGAGCGCTTGACCGAGGTCAGTCAGTCCCCGCCCCCTCCCCGGCAGCAGGTGCAGAAATCCCCAGCTAAGAGAGAGATCTGGCCCAGTATTAACTTGGCGGAGGGGGAGAGAAATGTTACACCCTTAAAGGCATTCTGATGCACAAACAGAATGCCTGAATCTTTTGGATATTTGGGGACCATGTTGCTCAGTTCCAAACGTATAACATAATAATAATAAGAATAGAAAAAAAACCATTTGCTTGCAAATGGTAGCGCGCTGTCGCGCAGTGGAGAGTAGCAGCAAGTATTGCCGGCTGCAGAGAGCCCATCCTCCTCATGCTTCTTGTACATACCTCATTTCACGGTTCAGGGTTCTGGCGCTAACGGGCAATGCTCTTTACAGAGCGCTGGCGAGAGCGGTGCCGTTTGGGCCACGACTGGCCTGGCGCCGGTGCGGGCCTCAGCCCCTTTGATCAGGGACCATCAAGCTTGGTCATCCGCTTTGACCACAGTGGTCTTTTTTCTTTTTTTTACTGATTACTGGTCCCAGTGAGTCAGGAGCTTGTCCCAGGCGGCATAGGGCAGGAGTGGGTACATCCGAGATGGGACACATGGGCATTATAGATGCTTAACTACATGCTATCACAGTGGTAGGGAGGTCCTGCAAAAACTCTGCAAACACAGAGCAAAGGCAAAACTGGAACTGGCAACCCACAAGGCGTGAGGGCCATAGTACCAGAGACCACACAGCATCTCAACCACAAAGTGGACCATGTCGCCGTGGTGACCCGGCAACCAGGCGCAGCCGCAGGTGACGTCGGAGAGAGGTTCGCGCAGAAATGTTGGCACTGTCCACGGGTCTCGCTGACATTCTTCTCCTGCATCTCATTTCAGCCATACCTCCGAACACAAAAGACTGCGGCAGCGATTCGGAAGAGAGATCTCGAGCGTGTTTATTACGATCTAGCGCTCAAACAGGCCCGTCTGGTGGATATGCCAAGATGAAAGAGAAATTCTTCTTCTTAAAATGAAAAACCATCTGCTTGTATCAGCGACTGAACGGAAAACAAGCCCCCAACATGGGGACTTACCCGGAGCTGGAAGAAGGCAGAACGAAAGCGTTTTGAATCTTACAGGTCAGGGCACCTTGACAGCAAATGTGGGACCCGTGTTCTGTAAATGTCCACCAGACGGCAGAACAAAACTGCAGGCAAGTTCTGGATGGACCGGCATCATTTGCTGGAGGAGTCTGCGGATACAGGTCCGAGCCGACGTCTGACAAGCTGAGAGGCCTCAGTGAGTCAATTTCAGCCGATCCCAAGTCTGCAAGTTTCAACTTAGCCCGTGCATTTTTGGGAACCCGCCCAGAAGCAGCACCCTCACAGAACAAGGGGCGAAAGGAGACGGGCACGAATCCGTGGGTTCCTGCAGCAGCCGGGGCCCACAAGCAGCTCCATAAATCACACTGGGGGGGGGCGGGAGCGCAGGCATGGCAGGATGGGGGGGAGAGAGAGGACTGCGTGGCAGTACTTCTACTACCAATCCATCTCCCTCCACCGACTCAAATTCATCTTGCACTCGTTAGGGACTGCGAAGAGGGAGATTGGGAGGGCAGACAAGTTACCGCAAAAGTTTGGGGCTTGGGGTGCCATTCTGCAGGGGCGTGATTATAGCATGGACCCCTTCCTGAGAGTTTGGGGGGCGGGGGGAGGTCAAGTTCACCAGTGCCACAAAAAGCTACCGGTACGCTTAGCAACTCTTAGTAACAAAATACAGGGGTGCAGATGAAAGAAACCCCAGCCGGTTATATAAATAAACCAATTAATATCATGCCGCGGTCCTCAGGTTTCCGGAACACAGTGTGTCGAATTCATTCTAATTACTTTCTGCACGGATTAATTGTCAATTAAACCAAGCGGAAAACTGAGACATTTCCTACATGCGGCGGACACGCATCTTAGCGTGCTGTTCTTCTGCAGGGTCTCGCTTGACTAGGTGGGGGGGGGGGGGGTTCCCCCCCAAAATTACATGGCTGTTGAAACGTGACAGCGTTTCGTAGCTGCGCTTAATTCTATGTTCCGGGTTTGCGGGGAACTGTTCACAAGCAGGTTAAATCCACAACGCAATGCTGGCAGGTAAAGCAAAGCTTCACGCAAAATGCTCTCTTCACCCCGTTTTGTTCATTCTTTCCGATTCACACTCATTATCCATGCCTTGTGAGGCATGAAATAGTACTAAAATATACACAAATTAGTATATTAAGCTCAACGCTAAGGTCGAGGTTCCTCTACACTAAGTTCCTCGCATATCAAGGTTTCTTGGGCCAAACATGCTCCATGAGGCCTGTAAGAAACAAACTTCACAAACTCAAGCCAGCTCTAACATATCCACTATGTACAGATGGTCAGTCGGCCATGTGCTCGCAGCTGCCAATGCTGAGAGCCACCTGTCCAGCTGTGCTTGTTCGCAGGTCACGTTCTGGCCTCAAAAAAAGATTGCTGTACTCTCTTTACAATCAGAGGAACAATACACCCCTATTGGTCAATATTTTCACTCTGTCGACAGAGAAATAATTAGGGTTTCAATGCAAAATGCAACCAACTGCACGTCAAAGGATTCCTACTCTTTTCTCTTTTTTTCCCTTTTCTTCTCTGCTTGTTGCACCGTTTTCTTTTCTTCAGTACTTGTTGTTTTGATTTTTCAGGGGGACCTTGAGGAAAAAAAAAAAACAGACTACAGTGCCACAGATTACCTTCTGACAGAGAGTGATGTATTACTCGAGACTGCTGTCGAAAAAGACCATTTTGCACCAAATCGATGAAAAAAATAATAATGTTTTGGACAATTTTGGGTCTATATAAAAATTACATGGGCTAAACATAAAGACAAAGTTGACCTCCACCCCTCAACATGGCAAACCCTGATTTGTCCAAATAGACATCTGCCACTGTAAAACCATCACAGCCCACTTTGCTCTCAGCACCCTAACTACACCTCCTACTTGCCCACATATTAGCATACTTTGCTCTTACTGCTAGCCTATTAAACTCTTCAGCCAATCAAACTCTGCAAGGTGAGCCACATGACAGCGAACCCGCCCAATGGGCAGGGAAAGAACCCAGGCCTTTTGAACGACTTCCTGCTTCCTCCTCTCCTTTTCTGTCATGGTGGCACAGTGCCAACATTAAAAAAAAAAAAAAAAAAAAAAAAAAAAAAAAAACGAGAGGCAGCTGTAGCAGTCTCTTGAGGTGGCTTCGCGGCATATGGCACCGTGGCGTAAAGGATGGAGGCTGTCATGAGCAAAGTGTTTAAAAAGAATGAGGGAAGGAAGGCAGTAGGAAGACATGAGAAAGAGAAGAAGCTGAACATCAGCAAAGAGATAATTTATTCCTCAAGAACAGCTTCCCTGCTGGGCATCCGGAGGGATATGTTAAAATGTGACATTTCACTGCCTCCTTTATTTGCTTTGTTATTGTTTTTCATTACAGTAACACTAATACAAAATGCGCTATAATTCTGGCGCTGTGTAAGTGCTCTTGGAGCAAGGCAAACAAAACCGGAGGTGCCGATTCAAGTGCCTTGACATGGCGCGTTCGCGCGTTTCACTCTGCGCATCTCGACCCATAACCTGCTTCAGCCTGAGTGAGTCCCTCCCCCCCCGATCTGGGAACAGATACACCACAACTGCCGTCACAGGATTATTTCTGTTGGCACGGAGTTAGACCAGGGGGCTGCCCTTCTGTGACATGGTCAGAGGGCCCCCAGGGGCCCTGATTGGGGCAGACAGATATGGGGAGGGCAGGAGACTGACAGAGCAGGCCTGGGAGGCTGTATCACGCCGCAGCAGCTCACGCCAAATGAGCACAACAGCCACCGCATCATTATCATGATGGGGGCAAAGGTTGGCATGTGGAAATTTCCAGTCGAACTGGACATGCATCCATGCACACATGCACCCAGGAGACACGCCCCGCTATCAGGCTGCCTATACCATGCATAAATCCCTAGGACCTGTCAGATGAAAATTAAAAAAGAAAAAAAAAATTAAATGCTAACAAGCACTAATCAAGGATAAATTACAGTCGCTTGTGATGGTGTTCTCACAGAAAACAAATAACATGATGAACGAGCATCGCTGGTAATGAGGCTGGAGAAAATAAGCAGTAAGCAATTATTGCCTGATGTGACATTGACATTGAACTCCACAGTTAGATGCTACAGTCACACTCACACAAGACGAGAGAGAGAGAGAATGAAGCAGACCCCCACCGCAGCCCCAAAGATTCACACTCGAAGGACATTTTGACCACTGAACCATAAGCTAGTTCTTATCGGAGATTGAGAATGTCATCACAACCCTCAAGAGCTTCAATTAATAAGGTCTTCAAATTTACACCAGATGCCCAACCCAAGTAGAGACTCTGCAGCTCTATTTTACTTCCATGCAATGTAAACAATAAAAAGTCAGATGGACCTGAAACTGACCAGCTGGAAAAGGGGGGGGGGGGGTGTGATGGATAGATGAATGAAGGAATGAAAGTTACATTTATATAGTGCTTTCCAAGACACTCAAAGCACTTTACAGAACCAATGGGGAGCCACTTCAACCCCCACCACTGTGTGGCCCCCACCTGGATGACGCGACGGCAGCCATTCTGCACCATTCTGTAAGGCTCTTCTGAGGTCCAGGCAAATGTGCCTCCTCCATTACCCCTGCTGCCTCCCATAGGCTATAAGATCTAGGGCCACACTACACACTATGTGCCCCCCACCCCCACCCCCCCCCCCCGCCCCAGCCAACACACAACTGGGTTTTAAATATAACCAAAAATTTATGAACGTGTGTTACACTGGAGACTAGCGGAGCCAAAAAACAGTTGACCTCCACTAATTCACTCTAGAGCTCCAACTGAAGGAAGATAGAAGACCGTGACTCGCTATTGCACCACAACCGAGCTGCCTACAGGCCACAAGCCAAAAATAGCACCTGGGTTTTAATTCGGAACGTTTGGAATTATTTTAATTAAATTACGAGGGTGCCAGATGGAATTCCGATGTAAACCATTCCGCGATGGCCAACTGTCACAACGCAGGGGTTCCAAGCTTGCGCCCCAATGACTGCACACTGGCGAGACGGGGCGCACGCAAAGGCGTGACGTACGCAGGACACTACACACGGCAACAAAACAGGAGCGCATCATGGTGGCTCCTGTTTAATAACCAGTCTTGACGGCAGTGGGGAGAAAAGACAAGAGCAAGAAAGTAAACAAGCATTATTTAGAGATGGCACCCATATTAATTGCAGTTTATACAGCAAGAAGCTCAAAGCGGCACCGCAGGTATTAAAATAATGAACAGCACGCTATCTATTATGCAGACAATGAATTGCTAAAATGGGTCTAAACAGTCCTAAACGAGCGCAAAGGCATCTCGCCAATGAATGAGCGATAAAGGTTAGCGCATCTGAAAACTACACCGCGCTATGCAAGAAGAACAATAAACGGCATTATGTCTGAAGGACATGTGAGAAAAAAAAAAACTCATCGGGAACAAATGAATTAGAATTTATAAAGAAAACTCTACCAATTCATACATGCCTCAAAATTCACTTTACTGTATGAGAATCTTTCGAAGAAACAGGCAATTGTCATATGTTACAATAAATAAGATCCCTTTGTTAATAGTTTTCTCACTTTCTCACTGCATCTCGCCCCTTGGGCCTACCTCGCAGAACAGGGTCAGCTTGTCATCTGGCAGGAGTCCGTTGGCCTCATCCAGCAGGAAGTCCCGGCGGATGAACTTCTTGAAGCCCCAATCCTTTCCTTGGACAAACCTGTAGGCTCTCTGGCTCTCTGTGAATCCGAAACAAAACCGACAGGTCTAAGACACTTGTCGACCCCAACCACACTCCACACAATTGCTCACATTGCATTCAAATCCTGAGGTGGACACATTTGTTGCGAATGGCCCATCAGCTGTAGGGTCTGCAAACAGACAACTTTACTAAAGCAAACTCCACTACAGCAAACGTCCTCCACTTCATGCATTAGTGAAGGCTGATGCACAAGGCTTGACCATGGATTTTCATTTTACATTTGACACAAAGATGAATAATGCGGCCAGGGTGGGGGGGGGGGGGGCACTTCACTGCTTAACTGAATAAGACCATCGGATGAAGCATGGAGACGCTGCTTTGGCGTTCGTTACATCGAGCTCAGGACGCACAGAGTGCTGAAAAAAAACCAGCCTCGCATATGTGTCCCGAGGCCCTGCACTGGAAATTGTGTGACATTGTCATTTAACTGCCAGGAGAAAGGTGCCCGGGGCTGAATCCGAGAACACGCTGAAAAGAGGCTGACTAGCTGAAAAGTCGGAAAAGCAGAGACAATACAGATCGACTGCTTGGTTTCCCTCCATCCGCATTTTACACTCATGCAACACTCTCTCCGTTATGTCCGAGCGAGGGCCTGAAGGCGACCACCTCTAAAGAGGCTTATTTGTGCGTGTCCACTACAACCCCAGTGGACCATGAGTGCTTAGTCTGCCAAAACCAGAACTGACTACTAGGTGCAAAGACTGCAGCACAAAGCATGTGTCCTGCTGCGGAACAGTACCGTAATTTTAGCATCGGGCGATATTAGCATTGGGCTAACATGATGCGCTAGCTAACAGTGAACTAATTCACTAATTATTCATGAGACGAAGAGAGCAACAGCGGAATTATGACCTACAGAACAAGACAGCAGGAGCAAATTGTCCCAATGGCTTAGCTGCCAGTACGGCAATCAGTCACTAAGTTCTCTCGTTCAATTCCACTTTTATCTGTTCATTTTTCTTCTACTTTAATCAAAATGGATGAAATCCAGGAGAGAAAGACAGGATGGCGGGATGAGAATGTTTTTCCTCTACCTGCGGCATTGTGTGGCTCGAGGGACACCGTGGTCCCCTCATGCCCTCTCCATGAGACTCATATCCTTGTTACCGTGTTGATGCTCCACTGTGCATGGAAGTTTGACGTCTGAAGAGTTAAGAGATCCAAAGCTAAAGTCTTACAGTGTGCTGCTGGAGGCCATGTCAAAGTCAGCAGTCGACAGCACTCCTGTTTTGGGGATTGTAACAGAGTCCCCCTCATGGTATTTTAGCCCTCTTCTGAGCCGGGTGGCTCACCAGAGAACATCTATAGAGTTTCTGAAACAACGAGATTAGAGCTCCCCCAGCCTCACCCACAGTGGGCTTGCATGATGCTCTCCGCACAGACCACTGTCTCTTGACACACCACACAGAGATCTAGATACTGTTTCGGGCTCTACGAAAGGGAGGGAGCTGGGTATCTCGAACCACCGAAACTGGAAATGAGGTGCGAAGACCTCATGAGGTTCCCCATGTGCGACTCCAAGACTCTTGCTGTCGGAGCATGCAGTCACACTCGTGGCTTGGCTTGAGATCACACAGAGAGCCTCCTGTGAAACATGGGCAGCCACTGCAGTCAGCAACAAGTGAGCATCCTTCTGAACCTCAACAGTCATGGAAAGGCTTGACTGTTATTAGGCCAAAGGATCCATCAGTGAGCCGATACATCTGGGGAAAGAACGGACCACTGGTCTGCCAATCCGCGTTCAGATCTGCCAATCCGAGTCCGGACCTAGTTGCCTGACAGGCGGATGGCGTATTCACACAAACTCACCAATCCTTCCGGTTGCAGATGGTGGGGTGAGAAAGGGGGGGGAGGAGGCTTCCAGCATCAACGTGAAAAGCTAATCTAGGGTTTACTCCCCCGACGCAGCGTCTGGATCCTGGCTGTCCAGTTCGCTGCAGACCATCTGCCTACACCTCTGCGAGGGGGGGCATGAGCGAATGTGAGCTGGAGCCTTGCCCACATTCCCCGCCCCCCCGGAGTAGGAGCAGGCGCAGGGGGACATGGCCTGTCAACACCTCAGACAGGAGCTCTTCCCCTTCATCTGCCCAGCCAGCAGGTTTCAGATCCCGCTGGAAAGCCCTCCTACTAAAAACTCTACAGCCTCTACTTAGAAACTTCTTCAGTACTACTACGGCTAACGCAAGTAAAAAAATACCTTTAGCATATTTTCAAAATCTAATGCTAAAAGACTAATTCATTAATTACTTAAATCGTTACAATAAAATGATGTACTGTCATTGTACTGTCACCAACTCGAAGCAAGCTGTCTACAGATTGATCAGAAGTGACAGGAAGTTCCATAGGTCAGACGTTTACCCCTGCCACAAAGCTCTTAATGCTTACATTTAATCCAAAAACGCAACAGCAAGCAGCAGCAATCTGTCAGTCAGCGTGTCACCTGCCCTCACCACTCCATTCGATATTTAAACCTTCACCTCTCAGACCTATCAAGAGAAACAGTCCAGCACAATGGGAAATGGGATCCCTGAGGGGAACAAATTACAAAAACCCGGCAAAGCACAGAGCTTCATAAAGCCCAGAGATATGCAGAGAGTTAAAGCGCATCTCCATTAGCGCTGGCACTGCCAGTGGGTCGTGGAGGCGGAATGCAATGCCGCTCGGCTACACGGTGCTACCGGAGCAGAACTGACGGAGCAATCCGATCCTTGCCGCTCGCGACTTGGGGTGGTGAGGGCGTGGGACGGGCAGGCCCAGCACAAATTACAGCTTGCGTGAAGAGTCTGAAGCCATGGAGATGGGGGTTTGAGGCTGAGGCTGATGTTTTCCGCCCCCGATCGAGAGAGGAAATGGCGTGGACCTGCCGCTCGCAGCAGCCGCCGCTGCATGGCCCTGCCGTTCCGGCGCCTTCGGCTCATTCATCACGCAGCTTTGCTTGGGACGGTGGCAGCTGGGTACCAGCCAGCAGCAGCACACTGTTCTTCCCTCGTTTGTTCTGGGGAGGGGGGTGGAATCATCGGAAATGGGGCCTCAACAAGCAGGTCATGTTTCCGATTTCATATAAACCGAGTTACCTGGTGGTAAGCCGGCGCTGTAGTAAAATTCTCCAGCATTAGCCTTCGGTGCTCCCCCGAAAGGCTGAAATCAGACTCCGCCCACCCCTCGTCCCAAAGGTGTCATACTGAGAGGTACGGCACCATTCGTAAAAGTACAAAGGGTCTGCCTTGAACATTCACGTCAACTCTCAGAGGCTCCAAACAAATTGGCAGGAACCATTATGTACCTCAACGCCGAGATAAGCTCGCTTATTCCATCCACCCAACAATCAAACAAATCTTTCAGCTCTGGCGTGTTATAAATGCAAACAGATCAATCAAAATTATCCTGCCTGCGACACCGCAAGGGCTTTTAGAGAAGCAAGCGTTAACTGACTGAATGTCGAATTAATTCTATCATTAATGGAAAAACTATTTCATGCACACGTGTTTAATGGCCGCCAGCACAGATACACGACAATCCTGTAAGACAATATGCAGGTATCTAGAAATATCATCACCCAGCGTGCATCCTGAAATGCAAAGCGTTCGAGTCTCACTCAAAAAAGTTTTACAAGAATAAAAAAAAAAAATGAATGGCTTCTCATTAGAAAAGGCTCTGTAGGGTCCGGCCCAGGCTGCTTTCAGACTGATGTGCCTATTTCCAGGGCCACAGATGGATATTCCAAAAATAATAATTAAAAATTACAGGAGGAACTAACAACCAGTGTTTCAGAGGTAATATCTGTGCTGCTGTCGAAGCGATGGAATTCCTAAGAAGTTTCCATTCACTGAACGTTAGCAAAATGCTAATGGATAAGGCCACTACCAAAAATAAAATGTCTAGTTTGTCCATTGCAGGGGCTCTGTGGGGAAGAAGCCCCGAGCCCTCCCCACACAGACAGGGGCTGCACGACAGCCTATAAACAAGCGGCCGCGACTTTGCATGCAAATAAATGTCTCTGTTCATCTGGCGCTCAACGGGGGCCGAAAACCAGCAAGGCTGAAAACGAAGCGAAGCACAGTGGCCACATCTGGTCTCTCAAAATTTAATTCCAGGCAACATTTCACCCCCCCACCAAACCCCTCCAAACTTAACCCAATTAAAAAGAGGCAGAGAATGGAGGCACAGAGACTTTCAATTCATCAAAAGAGCTAGAGAAGACTTCTAATAGTGCCTTTTTAATTAAAATCTGAATTGCCCACGATGCCTTTAATTAAATATTGGGGAAACTAATCGCTCCTGCTGAGATTATACACAGTCATCTGGCTATCAGCACACCTTCTGCACGCAGGCAAGCAGAAACAGGAGGTAATTCGACCTTAACAGAGATACCGCAAGAACCCATGACAACATGGTCCCCAGGTTAGCATGCGGTATGATGCCCATAGCCGCAACCATACCATGCATACAAAATGTGCTCACCTGAAACACGTTACCATGGACAACAGAGGAATTTGAAGCAGGACTAGCCACACGCTGTATTGTAAAATAATGGTGCCATTTTACAAGGCGCATTTCCATGCAAACAGCCCTCAGCGTTCATTTCCTTGCGAATGGCCTGTTAAAATACCCCAAGACCTTCAAGTCCACCGACTTCCCATTGACTCAGAATGATTCAATTTTTGAAACGACATCCTTTAGAACAGACCCCTCCTGGGTCTGGAAAACAAAAAGAACATTTTACGTAAATCTGAGGGATTTCCGTTCCGTGCAGATCACGGACGAACTGCGGAAGAGTCGGATGGAAAATCATTATTCAGACGGTGGCCTCACTCACCCATAGCTTTGGTCTCCTCACCCTTGGCGTTCAGGATGGAGAATTTGAACTTGGCACGCACCTCACTCTTGGGACAGCTGACAAGGAGCAAGTAGAGGGACAGGTAGTCCTTGCTCTCCTCGTCCAGACCTTTCGGGTTCACCCGCAGGCACCTGTGCAAAGCAAAAGTACCAGAGATTTGGACCTCATATGAGTTTAAGGTCTTTTTACCTGTGTTCTTTTTTGTGTATTTCAAGAAGCTCACTTAATCACTTTCAGCTTAGGTGAATATATTATTTTACCCCCAACCTCTTCCTCCTAGAACCAATTACCCACCAAGAAACAACACACTTCACAGCTGGCTCCCTCTCGTTAAAATCACCCAAGCGCGTAGTTAGTCATCCTGGAGCATCTAATTCTGACACGATAAGAAACAATCGCCCCAAATCTATCGTTTCTCAGAGCCCGGAGTGCACAGCACAACTTTCCGGCTGAAAATGTACTTCTAATTTTAGCAAACATTACAATTCAGAGGAGTCTCTTCGTGACACCGCAGAGAGCTGGGATTGCCAGCTGCGTCCGTGTGGATGCGGAAGACTGGTAGTTCAAGAGCTTGGCCCACACCCTCCATAGCAGACCGGCGACGCACCATTTGAGCTTATCGTTGGCTCCCGAAGAGAAGGTGGAGCTCTTGATGACCTCGCCCATCTCCTCACGGCAAAAGCTGAAGTTGTTGATGGTCCACATGTAGGAGAACTTCACCACTTTAATCTGAGGGGAGTCACCGGATGGCATGTGAGCAGTGGCGGAGGGCATAAACAAACAAACAAACAAACAAATAAATAAACAAACAAACAGGCAGACAAACTAAATGAAAACACAAGTGAAGAAACCGGCCAGCCGAGGCGGTGGAACCGCACATCAAAACTGCCTTTCATCTCGACAGACAGTGAAAAAGAAGATGGGAAATTAAAGGTTCAAAAAAAATGAATAAATAAATAAAATTTCGCAAGATCCAAGAAAAAATGGGAAACGAGGCAGAAAAGTGTACTTCAAGGGGGTAATGCACAAGTAAAACACAGAGTGAAAGATTCTCATATTTTTTAACACGGCATATAGACTCTCATCAGACCTACACAAATCCCAGGCTCCTCTGCTGGAATCTGTCTTTGTCAGTCCGCGCTTAATTCATCTCTCTCCAAGTCCACACGCACATACAAGCCCACCTCCCCACCCCCCCCCCCCCCCTTTGCCCGCCTCTGTGTACCGGTGCAGAATTACAACTCTCTGGACACAGATCTGAGCAAAAGATTTAAAAAGCCCCTTTTGACATTTAAAACACAGACATAAGAGCAGATAAGACTCACACGTACCTGAGTGTAACACCAGCTCTCAGCCACGGGCCCGCTGGACATTTCCGTGGGGGGGGGGGGACTCGGAACTCTTGACATCGCCAGCTTTGGTGGCGGCAGGTTGGGCAGTGGCGCCCGTCCGTGGAGGGAAGGAAACGGCGACGCCAAGCCGCCGAGGCCACGACCAGAGATGGCACTCGAAACGTGAGCGGCCGAGGCTGTGTCTCTGGAAAAGGAAGCAGACGGCCTTCAGGACAAGCACAGGCCTTCTGTAATGTCCACCATCTCCACCGTGCTTGTTGGACATCGAGCGGGGAACAAAAAGGACACCGGAGGCTGAACAGGGTCACATGCGGCCTCTAGGACAAACATGTCTGTTTAGTGCTTACGGGCCGTGGTGCGTGAGAATCATTAAAGGATAAAATAAAAGCGAACAGGCTTCCCCCACTGGGTGTGAGAAAACAAAGTCTCAGTGATCAAAAGCTGCAAGTGATCACCCTTTATATCTGTATTCAGACTGCTGAGCGCCATTAGAGCACTTTCATTCTAAAAAGGCTGACAGCTCTAATTAAGGATTCCCCTTATTTTCCCTTAAAAAGTCAATTTTGTGCACATAATGCATATTCTCACACACACACACACACACACACACACACACACACACACACACAATAGGCTACTTCTATTAAATGTACCTTAACCCAACATACAGAGAAGAACTACAGGAACCTAAAAGGATTAAAATATATTTAATCTGAGCCATAGCCAGGATTTTTAAAATACCAAGGTCAAAATATTAGCCCTTTCTAGTCGTGCCCCATAATGGATCGTAGTTATTGGAGTTGGAGAACAAATACAGAGGACTTGACCTCTGTGTCCTCAATGTTAGGTAAGGGCATGTAGGCTATTTACTGGAGGTGCATCCACAAAGGTGTAGTACCTGAGGGCGGAATAAGATTTCCCACCATGCTTAGGGTTATCTATACCAAAATGTTGGGCCAGCCAGGTTGTATAGAAGATGAGCATCAGAGAGGGTCTAAAGACGCACCTGCAATGTTATGAGAACTGCAGACGCTGCCATGGAAGCCTGAGGGAAAGATGCCATCGAGAACCATGGATGAAGTTTCACATTCCGACATTGACGGTCGAGCATCAGCTGGAGATGCAAATGCATGGGTCACTTTCTCAAAAAGAAGTTCGCCTTAACTACTACGCCGCACGAAAAGCACTCTGAGTAAGTCGCAGCCCGGAAGAGGGTGAGCAAATCAAGCGACACGGTCTTCTCTACCCTGCTCTCGGCGCACGTTCAGCTACAGCGCCCAGATGCCAGGAAATATTTACCCAGCGAGTCACTGCAGTTCTGGTTGGGAGAGTTAGTCACGGCGACACAAATCACGGCAACTCAGGGAGCCTGTTGACAATCAAAGAGACGGAACGGCCTTTGTTCTCAATAACAGAGAAACGGTCTGTTCTCCAGACACGAGACGCCTTCCATTCACTCCCCCCACCCCCACTGAAACAAACGTACCACTAACAAGGACTTAAAGTTTCCAGAATCACAGCCCTTAAATGTCCGTCTAAAATTAATTGTTTGGTTTCCACTTTGGTTCCGGATCTTCAACTCATTATTTGGGTAGTAAAATGATCTTTTCTCTCAGCTCCTAACTCAAAGGCGGCCAGACGCAGGCTGGCCGGCCAGGTCACCTGCCTGGAAGGGCGTCCGTCTCCTGCGTCCGCCTCCACATCTCTCATCGCTAATTGAAGGAGCCATCCAACGCAGGGTCGTGTAACCCGCTTTTCTGCGCTCCTCCTAATTAGTGCCCGACTAAAAAACGAGATGTTAAGACCACGAGAAGCTGCGAGACATGCAAGACGGGACACAAGGCATTCTTCACTTAACTGTCAGGGACAAGAAGTATGTGTGGGGGGGGGGGGGGGGGGGGGGGGGGGGGGGAGGGGCGCCGCCACCATACGCAAAACGACACGGCTGAGTCCTCGTGGCTTAATTAACGCTAAAAAGACGGAATTCCATCGTATGCGCCTGGTCATATTTAATTCAGTTTTTTTTCCTTGTGTGCTGTTTGTATCGGGAGATGAAAAACACTGGTGGCATTTTACGCAGCGAAACAATAAAATATTAATCAAAAAGTTGGAGAACAAGTGACTGGAAGATTTGCAATTTAAATTACCTGCGACTTCCTGGCAATTAATTCCTGGCTGCCTCTGAGGTTCCCTTTCCTGCCCCTGTCTGGTGCCATGTCTATCATTAGCTACGGGCCGCAGTGCTAACCAGCTAATTAAGAAAAATTTTGGCTTAAGAAAGCATGATATTGAAGTGTTGAGTAATACTTCTTTAGCGGTTTTTAAAACCATACATGCAAAAGCCAATTTGTTACAGTTATATATAGTCAGAGCATTAGTAACGTATAACTGTGACTGTAAAACTATTTTAAGCAGCGGATCCATGCACTTTCATCCCAAAATGATCATCTCCTGCAACTTGCATATTGCATTATTTGCAGTTGAGCAGCATCAAATGTCACGGCAGGCTAGTCAAATGGCAACAGACGTCAGCAGCAAGCTTAAAAGCAAATAACCCCCCCCTGTCCCCCGCCACCCCCACCAGCCATTTATACAGAGAAATCAAATCTCTGTAGCTACATCTAAAACATCCGAGATTAAGCTTCATATCCGGAGGGCCACCTATTGTCATTCGTCACCAGTATTACACACTCCGTTGACTTTGGCCTCGGGTAGGCGACCACAATCAGGCATTCCTGTTCCCAATCCGGATGTGCATCCCGGCGCGCGCTCCTGAATTTCATAATTTGTTTGCCACACAAAATTTCATTATTGTTGCAGAAATACAGATGAGAGCAGTTATTGTTACCGTTCTTTTAGGCAGAGGAATATGCTGGAATTGTTGCTCTAGGGGGTGACAAGAAAGTACCAGTATGGAAAGGATAATGCATTAAAAAAAAAACACATAACACAAAGCGATGTGTTTGATGACAGTTATTTCTGGTCGCCACGGCACCGATTGCGTTACCTGGGACTTCCTTAAAGTAACTGCTCACAGTGATCGCTGCAAGCCATTCTAGAAAAAACCTCTAATAAACAAAAACACGTTAGGGTGCTCATCCCTCTCTCATCTGTCTCTTAAAATTTGAACAGTTTCGGGCGATTGAGTCTATCCAATTTTATCTTCGGTTATTCTCCATCATCTAAAAAAGGGGACAGGCGTGAATGTGTTGAATACCATAACAAAAGTCTGACTACTGAAATCAGTTGTTGCAATAAGACCATACAGCCAGATAAACCTGCCAGAAAATACAAGACAATTGCTGTGAAAGTCCGATAAATCAGTCTCTGAAATTCAAGAATGACGACTTCACTTTGCTGTTCAACATTATAGATTTTGCTATATGAATATCAATCTAAATGTGTCACATCGATTTATTTGCGTTTGTTTTCAAAACACAGCTTTATGATGAAAGCCCTATGTCATTAATAACTGGGATTAGATAATTTTAAAAAATGGTCCAGCAGTTTCAATAGCTTTCAAACAGCTTTTCCCCCAAAGGTCTGCAAAACACAGGTCACTTAATGCCGATGCATCTAATTAAAAATAAACAGGGAAACATACATCTAAAAGTGACAATGTTACAGATGAGTGTCCCTGCTGTGTAACCTCAAGGGGAGCAGGTCATCAAACGGTCACCATTATGAAACAATACGTCCAAGCGTGAAAAATTGCTGTGATCGAAACATGTAGCTGCTAACCTAAACTATTTAAGAGTAATAAGGAACTGATTTAAAATGTACTAAATTATGAAAATTACAGTAGGCAGCACATATATTAAATGACTGGCAACCCTGACCAGAATAACCAGGAAAGAGGTGAGTGGATGGATGGATGGATGGATGGATGGATAAAAACATATACATGTTAACAGTACAGGTTTTGGACTAGAAAGAAAAAAAAACAAGTTGCTCCTATTTTACAGAAAATGTCACACCTGAAACGCTGTCCATTGACCAGCATGACCCCCATTTTTGGTTAAAAGTCAAGGGGAAACTCAAGTGCCCAGACAAAGCAAGACCAGCTAATTCTATGACTGTGTAACAGGCTTCAATGACATGCAGAATAATAATTCCTCACCATCCCCACTCTACATGTGGAGTCTGCCTGGGTTTGTTCCAGGTTCTCTGGTATCCTCCCACAGTCCAAGAACAGGCAGTAAGGCCAACCAGCTCCAAGCTGCAAACTGTGTGTGTGTGTGTGTGTGTGTGTGTGTGATCATGTATATATCATATTGTGGGGACCACATGTCCCCATAATGTGATAAACAATTGTTTTTTTGTTTTTTTTTACCTGGAACTGTGTTATGGCCATAGAAATGGGGCATCCCCATAAACATGTGTGTGTGTGTGTGTGTGTCCTGTGACAGACTGACATCCCAAGCTCTGCCACGCGCCCTATGGTCCCTACGACAGGCTGACCGTGACCCTGTAGCAAAGAACCACTAATGGAAGATGGCAGATGGATGAGTGGATGATTCTAGAATATATTTCCGGTTCAGTAAACACGGCACTGATGGTCTTTTTAACGAATTTACCGTGATAAAGAGAAGGAACCTAAAGGACCATCGGACAGGAATGGGGCTACTCAGCCCGAGGGCGAATGGGGGATCTGAGACCATTAGAGTAAAGAGCGAGTACATCCTGCTCGTCGTCTCATCGACTGATGGAGGAATCGCTAGCAGGACGTGTTTGTCATTTCTGTGCCATGTTCACTCTATTAGCCGACCCCTGTCATAAAAGCACGCCTGGGTGCCCTTTAAGCCTGCAGAGCATCCGAGTCGCTCACAACATCTTCATTCGCTTTATCTGCATATTTTAAACCTGACATTTATCGTATTTGGAGTTATTACTGATTCCTCTGTCAAATATTTGAACGAGCAGTATTCACACAGGGCCCCACGCATTTTGTCTTTTTAACGTGGATTGCCAGCTTCAATATAAAATAATGCCTTAACTATTTAAGGTTTAAGCACGCATTGCTGTGTCGAACCAGGCTAGTAAAATACTTCACCGTTTATTATTGCATAATGCATGGAGGGATGTATTAATTGTGTTGTGGCTGACCTTTCTGGCTCTATTCCAACCTAATATCACAAGAAAAAGCGTGGAAAAAAAAACACAATTTACATGTGTACAGTGAGC